CCCCCCAGTTCTGTCATTTCACACATTATGCATATAACCAAAGGGGTGTTGATTTTTGTTGCTTTTTTCATGAATGGGTGGTACATACTGTATGTTGGCTGACCTCAAAATCCAACATGGCTGCATCACACAGAAAAAGCAGGAATGGCTGCAATAATAAACCTTTCATTTGCACTGACAGTTTGCATCTCACTAAATCAAAAAAACATATAGAGTACTGTACAAAGTCTAACAGTGAGCATGATGCTACAGTGTCTGGATAAAAACACACAAGAAAAAAAAAACATTGTAAGAACTATACCCTGTATCAGCTTGTGTTAGCCTTGACACTGAGCACAAACAACAGTTTTTACCGTGTACAACTTAAACATTTCAAATGTGGTGAAAATTGCAAGTCCAAGTTCAGACATCTGTGGTAAATGGGATGCTGCATAAAACTCAGTTATATTATATATAATTAGAATTTCTACATCATATTTGTCATGAATGTCTCTGTAATTTGACACTGACCCTTTTACTCATAGAGATGCGATCAGCTGACTCACGCATGGCCTCCTTCCTGGAAAGGACCTCTGACCTCTCCATCTCCAGGCCACTGGTAAACAAATTCCTGCGGGCCATGTACGCGGCAGTGTCTCTCACTCTGGACTCTCCTTTATCTGACAATCCTGTAGCAAACTCTTGGCTATGAGTGTCAGCAGAGCAGAGCCAGGGGTCAATTTGGGAAGTAAAACATGTCAGTAAAACTGAAACGGCTATAAAAGGTATTGGAGAACATTTTTATAATGACAGCTCTGTGTGGTGAACAGTTGGTTACCTGCCCCTGAAGACTGGCACAACGTAGCCGATTATTTGGTTCTCTTTGTCCACAGCTAAGTACGATGGCTTGGATCTCTCGAGTAAGGAGCTTACTCTGCTCTCCTCTAGCCCCGAGTGTGAGGACACGTTAAGTCTGAGGCATACAGAACACCGTCAGCCTGGCACACAGCCGGACAGTGCAAAGTTTCACAAACGTAATGTATGTGGATTTAGGGAAAGCATGGGATTGATTAGTTGTAGATTAACAGAAAGATATGGAAATGTGTATTAATTAGGAGCCTCCAAAAGAACTGCAACCGGAAAAGTAGTCATTTTGCTTAAAATGTGGTAACACTGTAAAACTAAATATCCAAGAATAGTGTAAAAAATGATTCAGTGACTGATTTTCAGCTTGACCGTGTTAACAGGTGACARGCCAATCTAACACACAAAGATCTACTTTTTCCTGTTTATGAATGCACTATTGATAAGTTACGATTGTGGCTTTGAGGAAGTAAAAATATGGTTTCAACAGGGAAATAAAAGGAGTTTAAAAAACAAGGAAGGTCAAGAAGGTGATTGTGTCAGTGTCCTCTTTGGCTCTGATCGCTACTTGACTTTCCAGGATTGTACTTGCAAAACTGGTGCTAAAATAGTCTGTTAAGAGTGGGTTATCCCACATGACATGGGACACGAAAGGCCATAAATGCTGCTATCGTAACCGGATTTATCGTAACCACCATGCCTGGTAAATCCTCATAACATGACAAGCCTCCTCTCCTTTCATTCTCCTAACCACAGCACAGTTTTGGGTGGTGATGAGCTGCTCTTCTGTAAAATTAACAGCTAAGATCAGATGGCGTTAGTGCAACTTTAGGAACTCCGGACCTGTCCACACCTTACCTGGCCAGTGTGTGTTCTTTGGAAACACTTCAATATTCAAGTTTCCATAACAGTCATTGATGGTGTGATCTGGTGACAATGTCTGTTTTGTGGTGAATGTGTTAAATATGAGACTTTCATGCTGCATGCAGAGACGTTCATGCATGATTCAAAGCATTTTTGAGTTATTAGTAGGGATCTTCAGTTATGTATAAGGGTTCTTCAAGGTGAACTCAACAGAAGTGTGGTTACTGTGTGTGAAGAAGGARAGATGATCTAAAAGCTGTGACAGGGAAGTGCTCCAATAGAGTTGATGGAGATGAACAGCTCAGCTGGGAAGTGGAATGTGTTAGAGAAGTAGTAAGGCTTTCCTTTGACAATTAAGTTGATTGATGAAGTTATGAGGTCCTCATCTTCATATCCCCATCCTTCTCCTCCTCCTTACCCCCTGCTCCTGCTGGTGACGGACATGCTGCTGCCAGCAGTGAACCTGCTGCCTGACTGGTAGTGTCTCATTTTAGCCTCTGCCTCCGAGCTACGGTAGCTACGATCATAGTGGCGATGGTGCTTCTGGTAGAAGGGTATAGATCCAGACATGCTGCAGGCCGCTCCAAGTACCAGCCCCGAGTTTCCTCTTGTCTTTCTGTTTGTCGTGTTGGTTAGTATCGGAGATCATACAATTAGGTTTATCAAAGCTCTTTTCTGCTGAAACGAGAAAATCTAGCTTCCAAGATAAGAGCATACACATTGACAGATTCTTCGTCAAAACTTGCAACGTCAGAACTAAAGACAGAAAATTCAGGCACTCAGGCACTTTCTCAGCATGCTTAGACAGACTTATGCATCAGTACATCTGGTGCCACCCTGTGCAGTAACCTACTTACCCTCAAACTACAACTTTCAAAGGAGGGGAAAAATGAGGCAACTCCACTCTTCCAGCTTGATATCCCAGCTAAGCTACAGGTAGGTGCACACAGTGCTGCGGTCTACACAACAAAAATAATGTTGGCCCAGGCCAGAGTGTCCAAGCGGCAGTCGCAGCCTTTTAAGGTGAGGGTGGAGATAAATATAGCTGGGAGCAGAGCTGGGGGGGTTGAGTAGAGTCGATAGTGCAACACATTTATGGCAGCAGGTCTTTGTGTCAATAAGCAGAATTGTCTGGGATGTGGGTAAACACAAGACTGTTTGGTTGTTGTTGTTGTTTTTGTTTGCCATCACCCAATACTATAGGCAAAATGTGGCTGATAATGTTTTTGACAGTGTTTGTTAAACTGTCTGTTAGCAAAATATCTGAACCAGTGGATGAATTTTAACGAAAGTCTTAGAAAGTGGCTGATGCTCAAATATATTTCATCATCTCATCTGGAGTCAGTCCAATTCAAGATGGTTATCACAACCAGCTGATCTTAAACACAAACATTTCCACCACCATAYGGCAGGAACTGAAAGTCAGGCCCACTTAATCCAGCATCAACAGATTAAGTAATATTGTTTGACCAACATGACGTTAACATAGTATTTATTTAACAAAAGCTGATCTTTGTGTAAAACTAGTGGAAGGTGGTGGGAGATGTGTATTCTTTCAATCAATGTTTGCTTTTGTAGGTGAGCTTTAAATGAATATGTATTTGTTTGCTTAATTTCTCTGGTTTATTCATACAAAATTAACTTTGATTTATTTATTTATTGGTATTAAAACTGATTTATACTTTGGTCTTTGATTCATCTTTGTTCTATCAGATTTAGTCAAGGAAGTGAAGTCACACAATAAACAAACCTTAACATGAATGTTACATGATTAATTTACAGTGTATCCCGATTTTCTTTGTGCATTAAATTTCTTCATTTCTTTCTTATTTGCAGTTTGCCCGCAGCTCACACACCAGCCATTTTAAAGTTCCGAGAGCTTTTGTTTGTCTTTTAACTGCAGCGGCCTCAGCTGTGACTGATGCTAACTTTAGCTATGTTATTGTTACTCCCTCACGTACAACAGATGCCACTCACYGTCTCTGTCATTCCCTCTTTCAACTTCAGTCTCTTCTCTGAAAGCACATGAGTGGCCACAAGAGCCCAGCAGTTTAAACGGACGGTCGCCTTTCCTGTTTGAATTTCACACTTTGCAGTGTGAAACTTAGCAGTCAGCAGAATTATATAAGTTATTTCCAGCACAAAACCCATCCAACAAACTGCTTCATGGGCAGATATGGATGAACTGCCACAGACATGTTGTCCTGGAAATTAGCACAAACATCTGGAATTTTCCATGGCATCCTTTCTTGATATGTTGACTGTATTTTGACTGTAATTTCAACTATGTCCTCTGTCTACTGTAGGCCTAGAGAACTTTGGTTGGCCTTGTGCTGTTTAAAGTGCTTTATAAATAAAAGTGGTTTGGTATGGTATGGTATGGTATGGTATGGTATGGTATGGTATGGTATGGTATGGTATGGTATGGTATGGTATGGTATGG